AAAAAACTCTTGACCACAAAATAAATGTAGACATTATTATGTTGAGATTCTGTGTTTTCTGACTTTAAATTTCTGTTCTCAGAAATGTACTGATCATTTACCTTATATTCATCTATGTTATTTTACTTCTGAAGTATAAGCTATTGGAATTGGATATTCGTTAGGAATATACATGCTGCAAGAAGCTCCTAAATCATGATGCTCTGTATTTCAAAAGTTGGTTTATATCTGTCTGGAACCTGTAATACCTTTTTTCAAAAAAATAAGCCTTCAATAATGATGGTTGTCTTAAGTGCGGGACCTAGTGCCTAATGTGTCTGAGGTACTCTTTCAGAGTCACTGTTGCCTAGATTGTGTTATATGATAGTGTTTTATGGAAAGCATGGCCTCTGAGTTCCTAGTGACCCTTTTTAATGGCCTGCCTGTGGTTTTCTGTTGTTGACCAGGGTTACTGCCTGCTCTTAGCCTCTTGGGAAACCACAACCACAGATTTCCTGTGCCTTTGTTTGTATAAGATATACACATGACCTTTCCAGAGATTATTTTAAAATCAGGGTTATTTCCTTCGTAAAAATAGAAAGATAACAGATTAAAAATATAAAACTTCCTTCTTTGTCCTCTTCTTTCTTTTCCTTGCCTTTTCAAACCTCAGAAAGACATAGGCTTATATAGGGATGATGGTGCAATTTGAAGTACCTAATAGATTGAAGTAGGATCAATATGCATTTGGAAAGAAAAATATTCCATGTATTTTCAGAGTCTTATAAAAGCAGAGGGAAGGAATAAGGAAGAGACAAAGGGGAGAGATAAGGAGAGGTGGGCATCTGGTGGGGGTATGCCCCCCTTGAGGCCAGTGGAGGTAGGAGGGGAAGGGATAATCACACCTCACGGTTCCTCCTTTCTTGCGACTCCACCAGTTCGGAAGCCCTAGATGCCAGTTAAACAAGTGCACATTTAGCCCACTTGCTGACTCAAGCTTTAGAGCTGTGATGTCTGAAAAAAGTTTCACAATCTGAGAGTCTGGTTGAAAGTGCATGTGGTCTGTGTGCTTTTCCTCTGAGAGTCTGGCTCCTTAGCACTAGCCAAGCCACCTTAACTAATTTTACATGGAGGTAGCAATGAATGTGACCTCAGAATCAAAACAGCATGCATGGACAAGAAGGTAGGGTCCTGGCAGCAGCTCCCAGAATAGAGCTCTTCCGTTAGTTTTCTTATCCCTTCTGCTTGAATTAATGGTCCTTTACAAGAGCAGAAGGCTGGCTCCTCTAGTTTATCTACGTGCCCTAGCCTGTCAGCCATTCCAGGTACTGTTCATACCTAAGAGGCTAATAGTCAGGGGCCATTGGAACATACAAGCATTTCTTTCACACACACATCCACAAAGAAACCATTTTATTTACTCTATGAGCAGTAGAATATCCTTTCATAGTGTCTGCTTTTGCCTAAAACCCATTTGGGCATACCCCTAACTATCCTGCTACTAATGGGGGTTTCCTTAGGTGGCTGGGTACCAGCTTCCTCTCCTGGAGGTATCTGTGGAGCCACTCTGTAGGGCACACACAGAAGTTCCTGCAGCTGTGGGACCCTCTTTCTGCATTTATTCAATCAATAATTTATTGGCTGAGTAGCTCTATACAATACATATTGGTTACATAGGTTTGGATAACCTCCTCTATAAAGAATAGGAATTTGGCTTGGTTGTTTTTGTTGTTGTTGTTATTTTTTTTTCGGGGGTGGGTGGTGGCTAGGGGATGGTGGGAGCAGAGAGATTTTATCAATAAACTGATTTTTGAAGATTGAAGTGCATGTACCTTTATTCCTTGCTTAAATTTGTGATTTTCCTTTACTAGGCTTGCCCACCTGTTAGTATGGATGTCTGTGCTTTAAGAATACAGCTTTTCATAGGCTTGAAAGCCATCTGTCACTTTAAAAACCACATCATACTTTTGACTAAAGCAGACCCTGAGACGATTCCAGAGAGAAGAACGTCACCCAAGAGGCTTCTGTAAGCATCCCCTTGCCCCAGGCATTCCTGCCAGTTTCTGGAATGAATTGTAACTGGTATATTTTGTGTTTATTTTTTTTTAAATCATAACTTGTAATGATCAAATGGCTTTTTGTTTGTTTGTTTTTTCAAATGGCTTTTATGTGGTGGTCTTTTTCCAGAGAAAGAAAAGAAAAGAAGGTTCTAACAATCTTTGTAATGTACTTTATAACTGACCTGGAAACTTTTAGGAGAAAATGGATTATAAAATAGTTTCAGTAAAAATCAATGATGTTTTAGATTAGTGAAGGGACATACTCTTCTGTATAATTAATGGGATTGACTGAGCCTATAATACTAATTCAAACTACAGGACTTTTTGCTGTGTTTCTTCTTTGACCCTTTCAGTAGTTACATTTTTATCCAAAAATTATTTTCTGATACTACAAAAGAAATTAATAATGTATGTCTTACCTTAAAGCACGTTTATGATCTATAGATGTGGGCTGATCTATCTGAAAATAAAGTTGAATTTTGATAACATTCATCTCTTGTTATCTGTTAGGTTTTCTGCTTTCCCATTGTTTAAAATAGGATGTTTAATTCCATACTAATTATGCTTCTATTTGATGTTTTCTTACTTAGTGGTAGAGATTGCAATCCATTTCTCTAAGGAAAATTTACAAGAAAGAAATCTCTTCAGGGAGAGAAG